CCGACATGAAAACATACACTGACAAATTCAATATTACTCCAATAATTTTTGTAAGAAACCTTATAAACTTTACTAGAATCATAGGAATTTGTACTGTACTGACACGATAATTTCTTAATTGTCATCGTGTACGATTTGGTAGTCTGAATATATTGTTCAGAAACTTTTTATTATTTGACCCTGTGCTTCTAGGAGCTTTTGATCAGAAAATCGCAAAGAACGTTGCAGGCACAAGGATTGTGGTGCAGGATCATTTGATGCTTACGCAAAAATGAAATTTGAATTATGTTAGAAAATAATGTAGAACCAGGGCCGAAACAAAGAAAAGCAAACGGAACGGCATTGGAATATTAGGACATAAAACACGTATCTTATTGTTGTGTCAGGGGGGCACTTAGCGGTGCACTTGCGGCTCAAGTGTTTGCAAATAAATTGCCCGCTTTATTCCTGTCTGTCTTGAGACGTGACAAGGCTCGCAGATCTTGTGCGATACTTAATAAAGTGCCTACAAAGATGTCGTTCGAGAAGTAATATTAAAGAGAGCAACCCAAGAGAATGAACGAACGAACGAACGAACGAGCGACGGCGTCATTGTCGTCGGTCGATGGACGACGACGCTGCCGTCGTTTTCGTCGCGGCGTCCCAAAAATAGTGCTCATTTGCAGAAAGCATGTTAACGACCTTTCGTTCGTCTAGTAGTAGTAGTCGTGGTGGCGGATTTCCACGCTCTTCACGCCAAAACAACGGTTATCAAAGGACCCGTGTTTACCGTTCGCGGCGCCAAGAGCGTCGTTTCGACACCTGACGTCGACCGTCACGTCGCTGTCAAAACAGCCATCATCGGTCCACCGTAATTCTTGAAGAAAAAGACACTTCCATCGCGGTGAAATCCCACAAAATTAATTGCTCTTCTTCAAACAGCAATATATGCATCAAAAGTATTAATAGTCTCCACTGGTACTGCAGTAGTGCTAGTTTAATAGTCCACTTGGCACTTGGTACGTAATGAACTAATGTATAATCACTTACATTAGTTTTTATTTCTTGTGTCATCCGATCCTGATGTATGGAAACAATTTAATTGAATCGTTTCATAAATTACGTCGAGGCATTCGCGCAATGGGAATATAAAATGAAACGTCTGGGTTCATTAATTCCTTTGCGATTGAAACAGACGCAACATATGAAAAGCAGGTTCCTAATAAAAAAACGCATTATTATCGCGATTTCTAACTTCCTAGCCCGTATCGTGTAATATTATTTACATATGTTTCTATGACCGTACGTCTTCGTATATTAGCAATCCTTTAATACTCTGGTTGTAGCACATGGTAACAGCGAATCCCGCTGATAAATATCGACGTTTCGACAAATTTAGAAGTACTAAAGTTAATATTTAATAATAAACGTCAATTTTAATCGCTGCACTACCATTACTAACACCTGTATAGGTAGTAATGTACTAACAACTGTAACTTAACTGGTATAGGTACTAACATTTTGTATGTTAAGGAAACTACAATCCTAATTAACATTTTAAGGATACTGTAAACCAATTAACTTCATTACCTATTATCATCAATTTTATCCACGGCTGGCATAGAAGAAGTTTAAATAAATATCAAAAGAAAGTGTCCAATTGAAACAAGGAAGGGTAGAAACGTCAAGATCCTGGATTTCAGATGTGATGATAATTTTGTGGCGTTTATAAATACTTCACGTTTCTGGATTTTGCTTTGAAATTTCAATCGTTTTAAGCTTGCATACGGTTGTTAATATTAATTTAATTTCGAAGCAGCAAATTTGTATCTTTGCCAGAACAACAACAAAAAAAGCAGGAGATTATCTTCAACGATACGCTTCATTGATTTAATAATTACAGAGTCTGTTATTTGTTGATTTATTACCTTCTTCTTCCCATGAAACTTACCACTTTCACCGGGCCAATTTATGAGTCGAAAGAGAGAAGAATTTGACCGTGGCACCTTACCGACTCTGATACATAATTATGGGTTAAAAAGAATCCGAAGAATGCCACTTATGTAAAAGTGACTTTTGGCAATAATCATTCTGCTGAATAAATTATTATAATATTAACTATCCAGCGACCAGAAGAAAGTTTGAATATTGATACCTATGTACTATCTTGTTATATGGTACAATATAGGCATACGTACAGATAGTTATTAGTGCTTGGGTAACACAGGTGCCTTTTACAATTCTACTACAAACTCCTTAAAATTTTAATTTAATTTTCTGGTGACCGCAAAATACATCTTTGTATAATTACCCACCAATGGACCATAAAAAGTTACGTTTTATCCTGCGAGCAAATACGTAACAAAATAACAACCCGATCTATCTATCTCTCTCTCTCTCTAGATCGTTAAACTGTTTCCACACAAATCGGGTCCTGATATCGCGATATGGTCGTTGAGTAGTCGGAGTCTCGGCTACGTCACTTTTCATCCCCCTTCCTTATCAATCGATACGGTGCAGATTTTGGGGAAGTGAATAAAAATTTCGTCGCGACGCAGTAGGCCGCGAGATGAGCGTCTCTAAATACACGTATATACATGCACACACGTACACGTGCGCCCCCATACGATCAGAAAGCTGCGTTTGACAGGCCGCATAAAGGGGGCCCTCTCCGTCCCAAACCTACCGCAAGAACTGCTACCACTCTCATGCTACTGCTGCCGCCGACCCCAGGCGACCGCATCAAGGATCCCGCTGCTTCTGTTGATAATTGAATGTACCCAAACGGACGACTAACGGTAATGAGGAATATAATGCATTTGCAATCAAGGAGTCTGGGCAAAATAATAAGAGTGTCATTCTAAAAGTATCAACACTTTTGTTTGGAAAGCCTAGTTCAGATCTTCGGTGGAGTTCCATAAGTCTTAAAGAAGCACCTTCCTTCAAAATTGTCCTCAACTTTTTTATTTTGTCACGGATACATGAATAGGCCAAGTAATAAAGTTGTTCATCGCCATGGACGAGTATGAAACATCGGCATTTGCGGCACGGATCAGTTTTCTGGCCAGCCAATGTCAGACAACGAAGCTCCGACATCAGCCAGCGCGTTTCCAGAAATGAGTTCGGCGCGTGACTGATGGGGACTCGTTTCTAAGGTAACAATTACTCTCCGCGATCCGATGCGGTTCCATGGGAACCAATTACGGCACGCGTGATGGATGGCCCAATCAGGGTCCACCAGGTGACCCCGGGTCACTCTCTCGAATTACCGAGACGTACCCACAATATCCAGCGGGATAAGATTCTTAATCCATCCGAGGCGGAGGCAATATTGAAGACGCGACCCTGACCTTTCGTGTGAGAAGAAATATAATAGAAAAAAGAATAAGAAGAGTGTACAGATGAGCTTTGCCGTTCCCGCATCACCCGATGTCTATTTATCTATCCATCTGCCTCCATCTCTTTTTGTTGTGCACACTTTTTACCATTCGGCAATCTGTCGCTTATCGTTGTGCGAATTTCCTGTCTTTTGCAGATCGTTATCCTGGCAAGACCCGGTTTCAAAATCTTCCCAGAATGTTATTGTTCTGTATTCCTTTCAAATTTTCGAGCGATTCAAATGAAAACATACTCAACTTTCGCAATATTCATGAATGATGAGCGAAAGGATTCTATGTACAAAAGAAGAGGAGGAATCGTCAGATTCAAAAGTCATCCAAGAAAACTATGAAAGGATGGAATATTTGCATTCCTCTTTTAGTGACATAGAGACAATCATTGGGTTACTGCATGTCTTGAATGGTAACTTTGGGGCTGAGGGTGGACGTGTCCTTCGACCCACTTGTGGTGAGCACTTGATGCGTCACCGTATGACCTCACGATTCCATTCGAAGGATGTGAGGCAGTGCAAAAATGGAAAAGCGACGGTTTCGATTGTTGTTTTTTCCTTTTCGCGACGCGTTTCGGCTCACTCTCGACAAAACTTCGCCATATTCTGTTCACCTCACGTTCACTACCTTAACCCGAATCTTGCGCTTGCGTGGCCGTCGTCATGGCCACGAGGCGGGAATGTGTCGGTTACCATGACGACAGCCGTCCGTCCTCCTCGCACTTTCGACGAGCTTTCTGTCCGGAACGCAAGCCTCGGCCTCCTTGATGGCGAGGTAATGCGGCGCGAATCACAGACCACTGAAGCTTGTTTCAAGTTAAAACAAGCAAAAGGTTCGTCGTCGTCGTCGTCTCCGACGTTCCTACTACTCTTCTACTACATCCGCCGCGTGTCTTTTTGTATACGTATGCGATAGACCTTGTTACTCTTTTACAAAGGACTGCGGCAGGATCGGGATGCATCCGATGACGCTACTACTACCGCAAAGCGAACTGCAACGATCGTCGGTCGTTGAATATGACAAAGACCTTTCAAAACTAAACCACGGAAGTGATAAGATCGGTATTGTATGGAAGGACTAACGATATTTAGAAGGATAGTGGACGAATTAAATGCAGAAAATGAAAAGCTCGATTTGGAGCATGGTATGCCTTGGTTCATGTAGGAACTTCGATGCTCCGTTTGTTGAATATACACTGGAAGGATTCTTTAGAAGTACTAAGGATATTTAGAGGAATAGTAGATGATCTAAACACGGAAAATGAGAAGCTCTATTTAGAGCATGGTATGTCTTGGTTCGTGTAAGAAGGTCAATCGTTCGTTTGTTGAAGATACACTGGAAGAATTCCTTAGAAGAACTAAGGATATTTAGAGGGATAGTAGACGATTTAAACTCGGAAAATGAGAAGCTCTATTTAGAGCATGTTATGTCTTGATTCGTGAAAGAAGACCAATCCTTCGTTTGTTGAAGATACACTGGAAGGATTCCTTAAAAGCACTAAGGATATTTAGAAGGATAGTAGACGATTTAGACGAAGAAAATGAGAAGCTCTGTTTAGAGCATGGTATGTTTTGGTTCCTGTAGCAAGATCAATGCTCAATTTGTTAAAGATACTCTGTTAGGATAACTTACCCGGACTCCCAAGGAACACCGAGGAATAGAGAACACCCCTTCGAGCTGCATCGTTCGCCGCTCGAGCGTCCGGAGGTGTTGACCATTCCCGCCTCGGACACCATTTACCTGGAACAAATTGTAACATGTTATCCGATATCATACATAAATATATAATATCTGTAGGTATCAAAATTAAAGAAATATTGCGAGACAGTCCTTTCTAATACATTCATCGGAAAACAATGACATTAACTTTAGAAGAAAAAAAAACTGTGGCATCTAGGAATAGTCTTAAGTGCATGCGTAATAGGTATGTATCCGTAATCCTCCAGTTGATTATTATACATATATTTATTCCTGTCTGTAACTGTTGACTGTTACGGTCTTGTAGTGTTTTATGGTAATGCAAATGGCATTGAGTGATAATAACAAGGAGGGAGGGGGTATAATAGCTACAATAAACAATGGCGGTAACTATTACAAAGTCAAAAGCGTTTTATTAAAATATTCAAACGTAACGTCCATGCAACAAACTGATCGGCACTAAAGATGTGTCTGTCGTTGTTAATACGTGTACCTATATAAGTGCCTACATACATATATTGTATAAATGCCATCCATATATAAATATATATAAATGTAAGTGAATAGAAGTGTTATGTGTAAATTTATTCTGGCATGCAAGCAAAGGAATTATTGTGTTTCTTAACGAACCGTGTTCGGCATTAGTCGTCAATTATTATTGGACGAATTATTCATGACAACTCACGAACACTTCTAAATTATAGGATATTAACATAACAAATAGGAAAATAACAGCTCGTAGCGTCATGAATCGTTAATAGATAGGAAAACAAGGACGAGAGGGAGGACGGGACGGTGCGACGCCGAGGACTTGGACGGAGACGCTCGCGTCGGTCCGCAAGCCGCGCCGCGCCGCGCCGCTACCCGTTGACGAATCTATTATTAAAAGAACAGAGGACGTATGTGTATGTCGAACGAAAAACCGGCACTAGGGTGGTAGTCTTCTATTTGGAAATTAGGTGACAGGGTGGGTAATCAATGGTAGACAGATGACGGCTGGAAGTGAGCAGCGCGAGTGAATGTGCGTGTGTAGTCGGTATGTGTTTGTATTTGTAGTGGAGGTATCGAATTCACAACGTTCTCGTTCCAAAAATATACCGATTACAAATTGTCGAATCCCCCGAGGTTTTTTAAAAGGAACCCAGTCCCCAGCTAATAAATAACAAAAGTAGAAATCTGTTTGATGTTTCTTCTTTCGATCGAGAGAAGAATTTAACAACTATTTAAAGATGAATCGTCTAAATTCACAAGATGTCCATCAATAGCCTTTTTAGACCAACATCGTCCTTAGCTTTTAAAGACGTATAAACAATAATTCAAAAAAATTCTTGTATTTAAAGTTTTACAATATGCTCCAACTAAATTGTCAGTAACTGGTAAAAACTCTCATGAACTCATGCTGTCCTTATTCGGACCTAAAGGCCGTCGTCGTTTGGAGTTGCTTCCTGATGTTTCACTAGCATGAGTTGCGAGCTTTTTCAGAAGTCCTTTCATCTTGTGGTCCATGGTCCACATCCGGCATCGAAGATGGAAGGATCTCTGAAGAAGCTCATATCAGAACAGCATCAGGTTAAATTGTCACTTTCTTGAACTTCAGTATCTCATATCCATGGAGAAGATTATGATCACTGTTTGTAGTAAATATACAGCCAAGATACAAGGATGTTTTTTTTTAGTAGAACCAAAGTGTCATTCTTTATCAAATCGAAACTTTCGCGAACCAAAGCGGGCGTTACAGGAATTAGTTCCCTGTCTCCCTTGGACGCAACGGGTGGTCGGTAAATGTAATATTCGCCCTCCGGTGAAAGAAGTTAAACTCATTGTGATGCGAAAATGACTTTTATTCATAATATAATACTGCAGTAAATGTAATTTGGAACAGATGTGGGGGAAGGTATAGAGAAGACAGTCGGCGCGTTTCGCCGTAGTTTTCGGAACCATAAACAGCGTTTGAGAACGTCGCGAGCGTCATCGTGTTCTCCCCAAAGAAAAAAAACCTTACCCGTTTTAACACGTTGTTCCGCCGCCGAAAGAATGTGGTTACGCCCTTTTATACTTTATCCTGTTCCTTCCTTCTTTCTTAAACAGCGCATCACATGCGATAAGGAAGTGTGACCGCAGCGACGCCTCGTCACACCGTGTTGTTATGAGGGTGCCGAATTCGCTCATGAAGAAAATAACGCGAAGAATGAATGAATGAACGAACGAACGAATGGAAGGTGGTGTTTTCCCCTCGGATATCTTGCGGGCCCGGGCTACCGCCGCTACACTACTATAAAAAATAATGTTCTATGACAATAACGTCACTACCAAATGAAGTCAAATGGAGAATTATTCCGCGTCGTAACCTGCAACAACCGGTCGTTGTTTTTATTAAGTCGATTTAACTTTGGTCATGAATTTTTTAGAACGTGGTTCACCATTACCGAAAAACTCGATTATAATTTTCAGGAACGTTACCGCCAAAATGATGCTACCATTCACGAGATAGAAACGTTTATTCAAATATTACAAGACAGTTTTATTTTTCCCAGAACCGCCGTTGAATATACCGCTAAATACACACACTAGTATCGAGATGAGAACTGAACAAGCGGAGGCAGCATCATCTTTTCAAAAACGGGTCCTACAGGAAAATTCAATTGATCCAATTTAAAGCTTTCGAGCATTAATAAGCTTTGTTAAAATAATTTCGAGAATTCGGATAGATCCGGGCAGTTTTCAGAGAAGTTAGAGATATTTTCGGAAAGACTCGACACGTTCAATAAATTATGAACCTCAACTTANTTAAGTACTTTGTCGAAGATCGTCCGCTTATGTTTGAATTCCTTGATGAATTAATTGCCTAGTTATTTATTTCAAAAAATAAGAAACTGGAAACACCAAATAGTTCAAATCTCGATGCAGTATCATCGCGTTCCTCGTCCGTCCATCTGTCTACCGTCGTAAGTAGAAGGATCTAATCGCTGGCCAATAATGTAATCCGTATGCATAGTGTAAGAAGCGATTATAAAAATTATGCGGCATAAAAAACGTAATTCCCGCGATTATGCTAATGCAACGTTATAGGATTTTTAATGCGGCGCGGCTGCCACGATATCGGGTTTGACGGTCTTTCGGATGAACTGACTGGTATATCAACTGTATGCTGTACAATATACACGCATACAAACGGATTGGTGGATAGCCTTGGGTCTTTGGAAAGTCGACAAATACCTACACATGTAAACAATAAGGCAATTCAGCGTATGGATGTCTCGATGAGCCGCCGATTCAATGCTCGTAGTCGTATAAGTACTGCGCTCTGTTCTTTTGTATGTCAGATTTTAAAAACTTCCAAGTCACGCACAATCCCCGCAGTCTTCATTCAAATTTGTTACGCTTTGGCAAATCGCATTTAAATCTGTTTACATGACCACGGTAGGAATACAAATGAAAGCACCTACGACCCTCAAGGAAAAACAATACTTGAGTCCCAACCAAAAGGTGCTCTTTTGCGTTTGCGATGTCTGCATTTTTTGTTTGTGTTAAGGGAATATGGAAAAGGTAAGAGGTCAGAGATGTTCGCCTTCGTTTCTACATCTTCAGCGGTCATCGTTGCGGCCCATAAATCTCATCCGTCTCGTCTCCCATCCCGACCCAACCACCACTGGCAAGTCCAGCGGTAAAGCGAGCGCATCAGCGTCCCATCCCATCCCATTGGATCCTCCGGCTGATCTCGGTCGGTGCCATATCGCGATCGAACGATTGGCATTCTTACTATGTACGGGGCTCCAGTTCCATCCACCCGATCTCTTCTCTTCACTCTCCGAGAGAAAGAAAGGCCTTTGGTTTAAGCAGTTGCCGATGCCGATGCCTTATCCTTATACTTCCCTTATCTCGGGCCTACGATCGCAACTCGCGTTCTTCGATGTCACAGACGTACACACACACACACACATATAAGTTGCCCGAATGATTCGACGTCTAGCTGCTGCTGATACTGTTCTGTCTCTTCCCCACACGGACAATTAATCAGGTCTTATCTCTTCGGTCATTCTGATTGTCTTCTTATTCTTTTCCATCGCGTCGGCAAACCGACCGGCGAGGAAGGCAACAGTTAGCCACCAAGTCCGAAATAATTCCCTTCATGCCCCTCCACCAACCACGTATTCTGTCAGTCGATTAAAAGTATCGCTGCTTTTTTTGATAACTAACGCTCATTGGCATGCATTTTTTTTTTTAAATTAAACAGAATGAGGCTTGAGATGGCTATCATTTAAATGCGCACAAATTTGCGCATTGTGCTCGACGAGCTATCTAAATGCTCATCTATGTAATAGTTGCATCGAAAGTTGGACGCGTCGCTACACCACGGCGCTGCCAGCGGCGTCGACGGCGTCGTCGTCCGCGGTGTCGGACGCTATTATTTGCGTTGGTGATTGAGCGCCTCCGCTGCACATGAATCCTCCAAACATTTGCCGATCGTTGTCGCGGGTGACTGGTGACTGACGGAGACTTGACAGCGACCCTCGCCAGACATGCCAGCGAAAACCGTGGAGAACTTGGCGTAGTCGTCATCGTCCATCGCAAAAGCAAACAAATGCGTTTGCTGTCCCCTCAATCACGCACTTAAATTTCCCGAAATCCGCGAAAGCAATGCGGCATTTGACTTGCAACGTGAAAATCAGATCAAAGGATTCATCGATTACATGGCGATACCATATTACCTACCTATTTTGCATATCATATTGGAAAGAATAGGAGAACAGAGGACTCTATGGAAGTCAATAAAAAATAGGCAAGATAGGTTGGTAGGACACCTTGTCAGGCATGAAGGTCTAGTCAGAGACATATTAGAGGCAGAAACAGGAGTTAGGAGGGGTAGAGGTAGACCTAGATTNCTACAGGAAAATTCAATTGATCCAATTTAAAGCTTTCGAGCATTAATAAGCTTTGTTAAAATAATTTCGAGAATTCGGATAGATCCGGGCAGTTTTCAGAGAAGTTAGAGATATTTTCGGAAAGACTCGACACGTTCAATAAATTATGAACCTCAACTT